AAACCATTTCAGATACAAAAAAAAAAAAATAGAAAGAATGTATAATGGCCTAGTATTTGGTAGAACAACAGGGTGACTATAGGTAATAATAATTTAATTGTACATTTTATAACGAAAAGAGTATAATTAAATTGTAATACAAAGGATAAATGCTTGAGGGTATGGATACTTCATTTTCCATTATGTGATTACTATTTATTGCATGCCTATATCAAAGTATCTCATGTACTTCATCAGTTAAATACACCAACTACATACCTGCACAATTTTTTAAGAAATAAAAAATAAAAATAAATAATTCCCACGTTGAAATTCTAACCCCCAAGGTGATGGTATTAGGAGGTGATTAGGTCATAAGGATGATAACCTCATTAATGGGATTAGTGCCCTTATAAAAGAGGCTCCAGGGTGTGGTGGCTCACGCCTATAATCCCAGCATTTTGGGAGACCGAAGCGGGCAGATCACGAGGTCAAGAGATCGAGATCATCCTGGTCAATATGGTGAAACCCCGTCTCTACTAAAAAATGCAAAAATTAGCTGGGCATAGTGGCGCATGCCTGTAATCCCAGCAACTCGGGAGGCTGAGGCAGGAGAATTGCTTGAACCCAGGAGGCGGAGGTTGTGGTGAGCCGAGATCGCACCATTGCACTCCAGCCTGGGCAATGAGAATGAAACTCTGTCTCAAAAAAATAAGTAAATAAATAAAAATAAAAGAGGCTCCAGGCTGGGCACAGTGGCTCACGCCCGTAATCCGAGCACTTTGGGAGGCCAAGGCTGGGGGATCACGAGGTCAGGAGATCAAGACTATCCGGGCCAACATGAAGAAACCCCGTCTCGACTAAAAATACAAAAAAATTAGCTGGGCGTGGCAGCACAGGCCTGTAGTCCTAGCTACTTGGGAGGCTGAGACACAGGAGAATTGCTCGAACCCAGGAGGCGGAGATTGTAGTTAGCTGAGATCGCACCACCACACTACAGCCTGGGTGACAGTGTGAGACTCGGTCTCAAACAAAAAAAAGAAAAAAAAAGAGCCGGGCACGGTGGCTCAAGCCTGTAATCTCAGCACTTTGGGAGGCTGAGGTGGGTGGATCACAAGGTCAGGAGATCGAGACCATCCTGGTCAACATGGTGAAACCCCGTCTCTACTAAAAATACAAAAAATTAGCTGGGCATGGTGGCGTGTGCCTGTAATCCCAACTACTCAGGAGGCTGAGGCAGGAGAATTGCCTGAACCCAGGAGGCAGAAGTTGCAGTGAGCCGAGATCGCGCCATTGCACTCCAGCCTGGGTAACAAGAGCGAAACTCTGTCTCGGGGGATGGGGGGTTGGAGGGGGAAGCTCCAGGCATGGTGGCTCATGCCTGTAATCCTAGCACTTTGGGAGGCCAAAGTGGGTGGATCGCTTGAGGTCAGGAGTTTGAGACCAGTCTGGCCAATATGGTAAAGCCCCATCTGTACTAAAAATGTAAAAATTAGCCACCACCAGGCACAGTGGCTCACACCTGTAATCCCAGCACTTTGGGAGGCCAAGGAGCGTGGATCACCTGAGGTGAGGAGTTCGAGACAAGCCTGGCCAACATAGTGAAACCGTATCTCTACTAAAAATACAAAACATTAGCCAAGCGTGGTGGCAGGCACCTGTAATCTCAGCTACTTGGGAGATTGAGGCAGGAGAATTACTTGAACCCAGAAGGCGGAGGATGCAGTGAGCCGAGATCATGCCATTACACTCCAGCCTGGGTGACAGCGCGAGACTCCACCTCAAAAAAAAAAAAAAGAAAGAAAAGAAAAAAGTATGTAATCCCAGCACTTTGGGAAGCCGAGGTGGGGGGATCATGAGGTCAAGAGATCGAGACCATCCTGGTCAACATGGTGAAACCCTGTCTCTATTAAAAACACAAAAAATTAGCTGGGTATGGTGGCGCGTGCCTGTAATCCCAGCTACTCAGGAGGCTGACGCAGGAGAATTGCCTGAACCCAGGAGGCGGAGGTTGCAGTGAGCCGAGATTGCACCATTGCACTCCAGCCTGGATAACAAGAGCGAAACTCCGTCTCAAAAGAAAAAAGTAGCAGGGCATGGTGACAGGTACCTATAATCCTAACTACTCAGGAGGCTGAGATTACAGGTGCCCGCCACCACACCAGGCTAATTTTTGTGTTTTTAGTAGAGATGGTGTTTCACCATGTTGGCCAGGCTGGTCTCAAACTCCTGACCTCGTGATCCGTCTGCCTTGGCCTCCCAAAGCGCTGGGATTACAGTTGTGAGCCACCATGCCCAGCCGGCCTGTCATCTTTCGAATGGCCCATACTAACAGTAGCATGCATCATTCATCTGGGAAAAATGTGATTCCTCGCAAGAAGCCAGACCTTTGAAGTTGGTCTGAGGAAGAAAGAAAATCCCTAATTTTCTTAAATATGCTCAGGAATGGGCACGTGACCTGGGTTCTGCCAATGAGATTTGTCCTTGGGAGACAAGGTTTCAAAATGACTGATAGGAAGCAATATGTTGGTTTATCATAGAGGTTCTACTTTACTGGTACAGGAAGGTGGTGGCAGCTCAGGTGACTGAGGCAGGAGAATTGCTTGAACCTGGGAGGCATGGGAGGAAGAGGTTGCAGTGAGTCAAGGAGTCAAGATTGTGCCACTGGAACGCGGTGGTGTGATAACTGCTCACTGCAGCTTGGACCTCCTGGGCTCGAGCAATCCTCCCACCTCAGGCTCCCAAGTAGCTGGGACTACAGGCATGTGCTACCACACCTAATTTTTTTTTTTTTTTGTAGAGACAGAGTCACCATGTTTCCCAGGTTGGTCTCAAACTCCTCGGCTCAAGTGATCCTCCTGCCTCAGCCTCTCAAAATGTAGGGATTACAGGCATGAGCCACCGTGCCTGGCCAATCAAAAAGATTTTTTTTTGTTTTGAGATGGAGTTTTGCTCTTGTTGCCCAGGCTAGAGTGCAATGGCTCATTCTCGGCTCACTGCAACCTCTACCTCCTGGGTTCAAGCGATTCTCCTATTTTAGCCTTCTAAGTAGCTGGGATTACAGTCATGTGCCACCACGTCTGACTAATTTTTTCTATTTTTAGTAGAGACGGGGTTTCACATGTTGGCCAGGATGGTCTCGATCTCTTGATCTCGTGATCCACCTGCCTCAGCCTCCCGAAGTGCTGGGATTACAGGCGTGAGCCACTGGGCCCAGCCAAAAAGATTTTTAAAAAACATTTACTTAGGTGGCTAGCCTAAAATATTATTATTACCATTACAACAAAGGGCCATTGAATTATCATTACAATAACTTTATTAACATAGACAACATTTGCCAACATAAAGTGCACTGTGCAGAAATTAAGAATTTACTGACATTTTCTGGTAACCTTCTCATTGACCAATATTAAAAATGGTTTTGTTCATCTATGTTGCTGTAATGCAGTTAGGCCTCTTAATCTAATTCCCACCTTTTTTTTTCTCTGATATGGAGTCTCGCTTTTGTTGCCCAGGCTGGAGTGCAGTGGCACAATCTCGGCTCACTGCAAACTCTGCCTCCCGGGTTCAAGCAGTTCTCCTGCCTCAGCCTTCCAAGGCACCCGCCACCATGCCTGGCTGATTTTTGTATTTTTAGTAGAGATCGGGTTTCACCATGTTGGTCAGGCTGGTCTACAACTCCTGACCTTGTGATCTGCCCACCTCGGCTTCCCAAAGTGCTAGGATTACAGACGTGAGCCACTGTGCCTGGCCTATTTCCCACATTTAACAAGAGTCACAAAATTACTGCCTTCTAAAGTGTTTTTGGAACTATAGCTCTTATTATTAAGCTACATTTCATACTGTTCACTTTTACTTATAGTGATACTACCATTGTAGAAGCCAAATGACAACTCATTAAATAAAATAATCACATATTATGCCAATTAATGCTGCAGCACCTAAGCGGAAAGGTCCAAAATTTCCTTTTGAAGGTGTAGTTTTATTTGTTGTTTTAACTCTCACACGTTTTACAAAATAACACATTCTTCCAAAATGCAGGTGGCGAGTACCTGGATTAAAGAAGGAAATACACCAGCTCCTGTGACCACACTCCACATTCTTCTAGTTGCCAATTCTGTGTGACAAAAGCAATCATCCAAACCTAAAAAAGTCAAATTTTCTGAAAGTGGATGAGACCCAACTATTTCATGAGTATCAACCTCAGCATTTGCCAAAGATGCAGATGCATGTAATTCAGACATCTTGTTTTTGTGTATTAAATGGTCCCTAAGACAGGAAACTGGGTCCGTAAGGCAGTAAGTTAGAATTGTCGTATGGCTGTAAAGCCACTGGGGAGTCTGAGTCAAGAGGACACAGGGCTTAGGGTAGATTTATGGAAATCTAACATTTCAATCTCTGATAAAAGATGAAGCTAGAAGTGAAATCTTACATTGCTACTGACCCCAAGGATTTTTATCACCTCCTAAAAAGTGAGAAATACACTCATACTTTTTTTAAAAAAGTGGACACTGGGCCAGGCACAGTGGCTCATGCCTATAATCCCAGCACTTTGGGAGGCTAAGGTGGATGGATCGCCTGAGGTCAGGAGTTTGAGACCAGCCTGGCCAAATTGGTGAAACCCTGTCTCTAGGGAGGCACCTCTAATTTCAACTACTTGGGAGGCTGAGGCAGGAGAATTCCTTGAACCCAGGAGGTGGATGTTGCAGTGAGCAGAGATCATGCCATTGAACTCCAGCCTGGGTGACAAAGTGGACACTGGGGTTTATTTCTAGAATTACTAAATCAACCAGCTTCACTGATTTCCGCAGCCAAGAAACCATCAAGTTAGACAGGAAAGAGTAGAACCTAGATGTTTGGTGTTTTTCATGGAGAGAAGGCCCTCATAAAAAGAAAAGTGCAGTAATTTCCGTAGGCTAATTTCCTGATCTTACTATTTCCACCCATATGGAGGGTGTCCCAAAAGTCTTGGAACAGTTTTGAGCCTTAATAAGCTCAGGAGTATAAATACAGCAAACCTGTTAAAAAAATACATCATTTGGAGGTTTAATTGGTTAAATTTCATTACACTTCAGTTTTGCGACTTTTGATATATTTTTCGGTTTCCATGTTGTTTAAGTACTTATGTTTGAAAATGGCAACAATAACTGCTTTTAAGTTAGTTATTACAGCTCGAAACTGCACTAACACTTTCACAATACATGTATGATTCCTAAGTCAGAAAATTGATCCTAGCCCATTTCACTGGATGACTGACATTTAAACACTGGAATGGACTTCTTTAGAAGTTTTACTTCTTTTCTTTTCTTGCTACATCCGCAGGACAAACCTGATAAGTTTCTCACTCACAGGTCATTGGGTATGTGATTAGTTTTGTAAAAAGTACAATGGCACAGTTCTTAAATTCTTGTGTTATAGCATAAATCTCATTTTCCATGTTGGTGTCAGTGGAACTAAGAATGACTTATGATAGTAAATATCAAAATGATCATATTTTAATAAATTTCCATAAATTCACCCAGTTTAAAAAACCTTTCTGAATTCCAGGCATTTTCTCTCCTCCTTGATCAATGTTATTTGTGTTTCTATCTGTGACTTCTTTTGTTTTTATAAGGGTCTCATATATTTTCTGGGCTCTGATAATTTCTTTCTGAGCATCAAAATGGACTTTTTGCCTGGTCAGGATAGGAACAATTAAATTAAAATCATTAATTCGCTTGTTTAATTTTCTGATGTCTTCTTGAAACTGCTCACAAACATGGTTCCATTGTTTCTGTTCAGTTGGTGTCATTGGATTCCCAAGTTTTTTCCTAGACACTAAAATTGCCTCTCTGAGTTGCTCAATAGTATCATTTATTTCCTTTTGCATTAGGATCCATTCTGGTTGGTATCCATTATCGATCAGTATTCGGTTCAGGTTGTGAGTCATGGGATCAATGTAAGAACAGTCAGAAAACTTTTTCAGAGGTTTTCCTTTCCCACTGAGATTGTCAAAGTCTCCTTTTGCCATGGATTCTTGAATGAGGTCCTCTACTAAACGCTCTATAGCTTGAGTTATCTTTTGTTCTTTACTCTGTCTTATGTTCTTAACAGTTACACTATCTGGAAAATACTGGCTTTGTAGTTTCTGCTTTTGATACTCCATCACTTGTTCAGTAGCACGGTCTGCCCTAAATTGCCTGTATTGCTTCTCTCGTTGACTTGGCGTCCCAAAACCAATACCTTCAAAACTTAAATAATGCCGGTGTTGGGGTGTTTTATATTTGAATTTTTCTGCATCTTCTTCTTCTTCACCTTCATTCTGTCTGGCATTTGTTTGTTCTATGACATGTGAAAGCACCTTTCTATAAGCTTCTTCAATTCTTATAAATGTTGCAGAATCAGCAGTATTAGAGCTACTGTCAGGATGATACTGCTTGGCAAGCTTACGAAAAGATTCCCTGACGTCATCTGCAGAGCATCCTTCCTCCACATTCAGCAGCCTATAATATTCTCTGATCTTCTTTTTAGATTTATGGGTTGACATCGTTCTATTTCTAATGATACCAATATAAGGCATTTTCACTCGATTAGGAATCACTGTAGCCTTTATCAGGTGAGATCTTAAGATTTGAGCCAACATCAGGTACACTGTGTTCATTACTGTACTCAAGAGTTCTTCCTAGAAATGATCTATAAAATGACAACAAACATAGGTTGAACAAAGTTGTGTTATCAGTTAATTTCTTATTTTCAATAAGCAATAAGGTATAAGTTAGAGCATGAATTTACAAGTACAACAATAGGCAGTTCTTTCTAATGCTGCTGTCAACAATTCTTTTTCCATTTTTTTGTTTTGTTTTGTTTTGTTTTTTTTTAAAGACAGCGTCTTGCTCTGTTGCCCATGCTGGAGTGCAGTGGCACAATCATGACTCACTGCAGTCTCGATCTCCTGGGCTCAAGTGATCCTCCCACCTCTGCCTCCCCTGTAGCTAGGACTACAGGTGTGTATCACCACACCTGGCTAATTTTTGTACTTTTGTAGGGATGGGATTTCATCATGCTGTCCACACTGGTCTCCAACTCCTGAGCTCAAATGATCTGCCAGCCTCTGCCTCCCAAAGTGCTGGGATTATAGGGGTGAGCCCCTGTGCCTGGCCGAATTCTTTCTTTTTTTTTTTTTTTTAGATGGAGTCTCACTCTGTTGCCCAGGCTGGAATGCAATGGCACAATCTCAGCTCACTGCAACCTCCACCTCCCAGGTTCAAGTGATTCTCCTGGCTCAGCCTCCCAAGTACCAAGTACCAAGTACCTGGGATTACAGGTGTCTGACACCAACCCTAGCTAATTTTTGTATATTTAGTACAGATGGGGTTTCATCATGTTGGCCAGGCTGGTCTCAAACTCCTAAGGTGATCCACCCACCTCAGCCTCCCAAAGTGCTGGGATTACAGGCCTGAGCTACCACACCAGCCCAGGTGCATTCTTATAGCTATATTTCACTGATGTTGAGGGAAAAATGGAAGCTGATGGAGTTTAGTGTTAACATATTGTGGGGCCAGGCACGGTGGCCCACACCTGTAATCCCAGCACTTCAGGAAGCCGAGGCGGGTGGATCACCTGAGGTCAGGAGTTCGACATCAGCCTGGTAAACATGGCGAAACCCTGTCTCTACTAAACATATAAAAATTAACTGGGTGCTTGCAGTCCCAGCTACTCAGGAGGCTGAGGCAAGAGAATCGCTTGAACCCGGGAGATGGAGGTTGCAGTTAGCTGAGATCACGCCACTACACTCCAGCCTGGGCGACAGAGAGAGACTGTGTCTCAAAACAAGAACAACGACAAAAAACACTGTGATATAATCTGGATTCTACTCCTCACTAATCACATATTTTACAAGTGGAAAGTTCTTAGAGGTCACCTAATATCCAATCTTCTCATTTAATGAGAAAACGTAGCTCCTGAAGGTTAAGCGATTTAGCCAAGTCCCATAACAAGGTGTAAGCAGGTAGGGGTGGGCACAGAAAAAGGAGGCTTGCTTATATACCTCCAGTCGGTTATAAACTGCACGGCGTCTGCACCCTCTCAAAGAGTCTTCTCATAAGAAGACTTATGGACAAGGTACAAACCTGGTCTGATACTGGATTGAATAGAATCAAGTGTCCAAAAGACTTTAAGCTCCATAGCTCGCTAGGAAGGAGCTGCCAGAGGCCAGGAAAACCACGATGAACGGTGAGGCCTCCTAACACGTTTGCTGCTATTGCAATAACATGGTCTCGAAGAGGAGGAAGACTTCTGCACTGACAACGGCCAAAAAATATTGGAAGTGGCTTAATTGGAAGTGGGATATATAAACACTAAAACGGGAATCCTGAGACCCCCTATTTTCTGGACAATCGGGCCAACGGCTTTGGGAGCTGGCTGCAAAGGTGGTTATCATGGCAGGGAGGTCTGTCGGTCCGGTCCTGCCCCGCCCCCTCCTCACCTGCGCAGGCCGGGGTAGGGGTTCCGCGGCTCCCGCACTTACGCCGCGCCTATGCTCATGCGTACACTGTCCGCCCGTCACGCCGGGGGTCTGTACCGCGGAACCCAGCCGGTGTCTCCGCCGAGATAATACCATCTGCCACTTTACATTGAGGGGCCCCGGGGGTAGAGAAGGCAGAATCGTACCTGATTGGGACAGGCGACCCGCCTTACCAGGGAAACGGACAATCTCTGGTCTAATGAACTTTCCCCTGGAGGGCCCAGGGAGGGCACCTTGAGAAGCTTTGTCCGGGCCGGGGACGACCAGCTCCACCTCCGCCCCCGTCCCCGCCCGGAGCAGAGGTGGTCCGGCCGCTTGGGATTGTAGGAGATGTAGTTCGCCAGCAGGAGCGATGTGCGCCTGCGCCTCTCGGGAGGGACTTACGGGGCGTCGAAAATGAGGCAGACTGAATTGGTGGCGTGTGGAGCTGCGGCTCGGAAGGCGATGGTAACTTTTTTGGGGCAGGAGAAGGCAAGGCTGTTTCCCCGGAACGGGACCTGAGCAGGCTTCTTCGGGGTCACAGAAGGGGCCACCTGCGCAGATACGTGAGGATTACAAACCTGCCCTTTTATTAATTCACCAAGTACTGCTGAGGGGCTGCCGACAGGACCGAGGACAAAATCAAAATAGGGATCTTCTGGCTTCAAATTCAACCACTGACTTGGGGACTGAGCATTTCCCCTCTCTGTACAGGAAGCAAGTTTTTTAAAAAGGAAAAAGAAAAGGGATAAAAAGAAAAAGGCAGAGGCTTGGCAGTTTTCAGATCTGGATTGAAAATCCTGTTGCTAGTGGGGGAAGGAGAATAATTTTTAAAAAAAAGAAAAAGAAAATCTTGTTTCTTCTGCTTGCACCAAAGGCAAGATACCTGCAAAATGAGAGTTGCAGTACATAGTAAACTATAGGAAATGGTAGGACACTGTGCTAAGTGCTTTATATATATTCTCATTCACTTTTTTTTTTGGACAGAGTCGTGGTCTGTCGCACAGGCTGGAGTGCGGTGACGCGATCTCGGCTCACTGCAACCTCTGACTCTGGGTTCAAGCGATTCATTCTCCTGCCTCAGCCTCCCAAGTAGCTGGGATTACAGGCGCTCACTACTAAGCCGGGCTAATTTTTTTTGTATTATTAGCGGAGACCGAGTTTGTCAAACTCTTCCTTAATTAAAGAGAGTGAAAAGGGGTTGAGATGGCACCCAGAGAGTCAGGCATATCTTTGTGTTTGTTTGTTTGTTTGAGATAGTCTTGCTCTGTTCCCCAGGTTGGAGTGCGGCGGCGAGATCTCGGCTCACTGCAACTTCGCCTCTCCAGTTCAAGTGATTCTCCTGCCTCAGCCTCCTCAATAGCTGGGATTACAGGTGCCCACCACCATGCCCAGCTAAGTTTTGTATTTTTTTTTTGAGATGGAGTTTTGCTGTTGTTACCCAGACTGGAGTGCAATGGCATGATCTCCGCTCACCGCAACCTCTGCCTTCTGGGTTCAAGCAATTCTCCTGCCTCAGCCTCCTAAGTAGCTGGGACTACAGGCACACACCACCATGCCCAGCTAATTTTTGTATTTTTAGCAGAGACGGGGTTTCACCTTGTTGACCAGGATGGTCTCGATCTCTTGACCTCGTGATCCACCCGCCTCGGCCTCCCAAAGTGCTGGGATTATAGGCGTGAGCCACCGCGCCCGGCCAAGTTTTGTGTTTTTTAGTAGAGATGGAGTTTTGCCATGTTGGCAAAGCTGATCATGAACTCCTGATCACAGGTGATCAGGTGATCCACCTGCCTCGGTCTCCCGAAGTGCTTAGATTACAGGTGTGAGCCACCACACCTGGCCAAGAATGGGTTTTTAAAGGTGGGGAGGCAGAAGTTATAGGCAGAGTCACAAATCAATACATGACAGTTATACATTGGTTTGGCCTAAAGAGGTGGATATCATGAAGCAGGGGCTTACAGGTCATGGGTGTGAGGCAGGATAGGTAGTTAAGGAAGTGACCATGTCCTCGGGATGCTGCAACCATAGTGATCATACAGTCAACACAATACATCCCAAACTTGCTATCGTGATCCAGCTCATTTAAGCAACGCTGTCTCCAGCAGGGACTGTCCCCTGTAGGAAGCATGCAGGACAGGATTTTACCTGTCCTCAGACTGACCCCTTTGCTCATTATAATGGTAAATACCACATATCTGGGTGGAGATTTAAGATGCTAATGACGGTGGCTCAGGCCTGTAACCCCAGCATTTGGGAGGCCGAGGCGCGTGGATTGCCTGAGCTCAGGAGTTAGCTACCAACCTGGGCAACATGGTGAAACCCCGTCTCTACTAATAAAAAATAAAATAGCCAGGCGTCACGGCATGCACCTGTAGTCCCAGCTATTTGGGAGGCCAAGGCAGGAGAACTGCTTGAACTGAGGAGGTGGAGGTTGCAGTGAGTGGAGATCTCGCCACTGCACTCCAGCCTGGACGACAGAGTGAGACTCCATCTCAAAAAAAAAAAAAAAAAAAAAAGATGCTAACGAGACATGCCATATATGAACAAGAGTGTACAGCTACTGCACGTGTGCACGCAGAGGACCACCCAGAACATGCTTACTAGTAACATCTCTTCCCGCCCCTGTGAATAACCATGTTAGGCTCCCATAAAGGGAGGCTCCCTCGTGCTGGTCTTTCCTGTCTCATCCTTACGAGCAGCCCACCCTGAATTCTCTCTCAGGGTGTACTGTCCATTCTACACCTCACTTTCAAAATATTTTTTCTTTGCAATAAATTGCCCTATGCTGCATCTCCTTTCTGTATGTCTCTGGATTATTAATAAATTATTTTAGGCTGGGCGTGGTAGCTCATGCCTGTAATCTCAGCACTTTGGGAGGCCAAGGGGGGCAGATTACGAAGTCAGGAGTTTGAGACCAGCCTGGCCAGCATGGTGAAACTCTGTCTCTACTAAAAATACAAATATTAGCCAGGTGTGGTGGTGCACGCCTGTAATCCCAGCTACTCGGGAGGCTGAGGCAGGAGAATCACTTGAACCAGGGAGGTGAATCTTGCAGTGAGCCAAGATTGTGCCATTGGACTCCAGCATGGGTGGCAGAGCAAGACTCTGTAAAAAGAAAAAAAAGAATATTAGCTGTGTTTTGTGGGCGTGAGCTCCTCCAGGGCCTTTAGGAAGAAATTTAGAACAGAGAACAGTGGTCAGAGTTCAGTCTTCAGTTTCCCCTTATCTGAGGTCTACAGGCCATTGGATCCATTTGGTGGAGGTCTGTGTTTCTGAAAAACAACTCAAAGACATGTTAGGATAATGTTATCATTAGTTTCTTTTTTTTTTTTTGAGATGGAGTTTCACTGTTGTTACCCAGACTGGAGTGTAATGGCATGATCTTGGCTCACCACAACCTCTGCCTCCTGGATTCAAGCAATTCTCCTGCCTCAGCCTCCCAAGTAGCTGGGATTACAGGCGCGCACCACCATGCCCAGCTAATTTTTGTATTTTTAGTAGAGATGGGATTTCACCTTGTTGACCAGGATGGTCTCGATATCTTGACCTCGTGATCCACCCGCCTCGGCCTCCCAAAGTGCTGGGATTATAGGCGTGAGCCACCGCACCCGGTCGTTTCTAAACAAACATTTCCTGACTTTAGCTTCCTTGGCTATGGTTTTAAGCTACTGTTACCTTTTGTTTTTTTTTTCTTAAGAGGCAGAGCCTCACTGTCACCCAGGCTTCATTGCAGTGGCATGATCATGGCTCACTGCAGCCTCAAACTCCTGGGCTCAAGTGATCCTCCCACCTCAGCCTCCTGAGTAGCTGGGACTAGAGGCATGTGCCACCATGCCTGGCTAATTGTTTTGATATTTTAAAAAGATGGTTGTCTCACTGTGTTCCCAGGCTGGTCTCGAACTCCTGGGCTGAAGTGATCCTCCAGCCTCAGCCTCCCAAAGTTCTGGAACTATAGGCATAAGCCACTGTGCCCAATGCCTACTACCTTCCTTTTTTCTTTCTGTTTTGTACCTTCTTTCCTTTTTTTTTTTTTTTTTTTTGTGATGGAGTCTTGCTCTGTCACCCAGGCTGGAGTACAATGGTGAGATTGATCTCAGCTCACTGCAGCCTTCACCTCCCAGGTTTACGTGATTCTCCTGTCTCAGCTTCCCGAGTAGCTGGGATTACAGGTCTGTGCCACCATGCCTGGCTAAATTTGGAATTTTTATTAGAGACAGGGTTTCACCATGTTGGCCAGTGTGGTCTCGAACTTCTGAATTCAGGTGATCCATGTCAAATAGAATTACTGCTCTCCATCATTCTAGTCCACAAAGCTGGTGGGGAAAACACTAGTTACTTTGAAGATGCATTTGCACAAGGAGGTGTGGAGTTAAGATGCCTCCCTCCAGATGACCTGTTGACTTCTCCACTCTTTGGGCTGAATTGTGCCCCCCAAAATTCATGTTGAAGCCCTAACTTCCAGTTCTTTTTTTTTTTTTTTTTTGAGATGGAGTTTCGCTCTTGTTACCCAGGCTGGAGTGCAATAGCACAATCTCGGCTCAGCACAACCTCTGCCTCCTGGGTTCAGGCAATTCTCCTGCCTCAGCCTCCGGAGTAGCTGGGATTACAGGCACGTGCCACCATGCCCAGCTAATTTTTTGTATTTTTAGTAGAGACGGAGTTTTACCTTGTTGACCAGGATGGTCTCAATCTCTTGACCTGGTGATCCACCCGCCTTGGCCTCCCAAAGTGCTGGGCTTACAGGCATGAGCCACCGCGCCTGGCCCTTTTTTTTTTTTTGAGACAGAGTTTCGTTCTTGTTACCCAGGCTGGAGTGCAATGGCACGATCTTGGCTCACTGTAACCTCCGCTTCCCAGGTTCAAGCGATTCTCCTGCCTCAACCCCCTAAGAAGCTGGGACTACAGGAGCGTGGCACCACGCCCAGCTAATTTTTGAGTTTTTAGTAGAGACTGGGTTTCACTATGTTGGCCAGGATGGTCTCGATCTCTCGACTTTGGGATCCACCTGCCTCTGCCTCCCAAAGTGCTGGGATTACAGGTGTGAGCCACCGCCCAGCATAACCACCAGTTCTTTAGAGTGTGACTGCATTTGGAGAAGTGATTAAGTTAAAATGAGGCTGTTAAGGTGGGTGATAATCCAATCTGACTGGCATCCTTATCAAAGGAAATTTGGCCACAGAGAGACACCAGGGTTGTGCACACACAGAGGAAAGTCCCTGTGAGGACACACAGAGAAGGTGGCCGTCTGCCAGCCAAGGAGAGGCCTCAGGAGAAACCCACCCTGCAGACACCTTGATCTTGGACTTCCAGTCTCCAGGACTATAATGGTCTCCTGTTGCTGAAG